ACAACATCCCGGCAGAGGCACTGAAAGCAAATGTAACAGCAACTGCCAAGATACTCCACATCCTCTTCGGTAAGATTTGGGACGAAGAACATGTACCAACAGACTGGAAAGAAGGACTTCTCATCAAGATACCAAAGAAAGGCGATCTGAGCAAGTGCGACAACTACAGAGGCATCACTCTCCTCTCAATACCAGGAAAAGTCTTCAACAGAGTATTGTTAAACAGGATGAAGGATTCCGTGGACGCTCAACTTCGAGATCAACAAGCTGGATTTCGTAAGGATAGATCGTGCACAGATCAAATCGCAACTCTACGTATCATTGTGGAACAATCAATCGAATGGAATTCATCACTGTACATCAACTTCATCGACTACGAGAAGGCATTTGATAGCGTGGACAGGACGACACTGGAAGCTTCTTCGACACTACGGTGTGCCTGAGAAGATAGTAAATATCATACGGAACTCCTATGATGAACTAAACTGCCAAATCGTCCACGGAGGACAACTCACCGACTCGTTCGAGGTAAAGACCGGTGTGAGGCAAGGTTGCCTACTCTCACCCTTTCTCTTTCTCCTGGTGATCGACTGGATTATGAAGACGTCAACATCTGGAGGAATGCACGGGATACAGTGGACAGGCAGGATGCAGCTTGACGATTTAGACTTCGCGGATGATCTGGCTCTTCTATCACAAACGCAACAACAAATGCAGGAGAAAACGACCAGTGTAGCAGCAGCCTCAGCAGCAGTAGGTCTCAATATAAACAAAGGGAAAAGCAAGACTCTCCGATACAATACAACATGCACGAATCCAATTACACTTGACGGAGAAGCTTTGGAGGATGTGGAAACCTTTACATATCTGGGCAGCATCATTGATGAACACGGTGGATCAGATGCAGATGTGAGGGCGAGGATTGGCAAAGCAAGAGCAGCATACCTACAGCTGAAAAACATCTGGAGCTCAAAACAATTGTCAACCAACACCAACCCCAGAATTTTCAATACAAATGTCAAGACAGTTCTACTGTATGGGGCGGAGACGTGGAGAACTACGAAAGCAATTATCCAGAAGATACAAGTGTTTATTAACAGCTGTCTACGCAAGATACTTCGGATCCGATGGCCAGACACTATCAGCAACAACCTACTGTGGGAGAGAACAAACCAGATTCCAGCGGAGGAAGAAATCAGGAAGAAGCGCTGGAAGTGGATTGGGCACACTTTGAGGAAATCACCCAATTGTGTCACAAGACAAGCCCTCACATGGAATCCTGAAGGTCGAAGGAGAAGAGGAAGACCAAAGAACACATTACGCCGAGAAATAGAGACAGACATGAGAAGAATGAACAAGAACTGGAAAGAACTAGAAAAGAAGGCCCAGGACAGAGTGGGTTGGAGAAAGCTGGTCGGCGGCCTATGCTCCATTGGGAGTAACAGGCGAAAGTAAGTAAGTAATATTGATTCGGTAACTTCACCTTCATTCGCAGTTATAGATGCTTGAATATTGGATTGCAATAGAGAGTATAATAATGGATAAATGAAGTTAATTCGATTTTAGATATGAATGTTATTACTTTCATCAGGGTTAGGAAACTAACCAAAGTCCTAATTTAAAGTAGGTGGTTTTCTTAGGTGATTACTGGCGAACCTTTGGCACGTGAGTCTAATACACAAAATAGTGGAGTAAATTCATGGTAGTTGGTGAACGAATTCTGCTTCCGAGCTGTTCATTTCGGAATCCTGAAGCCAGTGAATGACAATCATATTGAATCATGGTTTACCAATTAGCCATTAGGGGAATTCGGTATCCAGCAGCCCAGTTGAAGCTCAGATCATCCTTTTCCTCGCTAACTCACTTACTGAAAGACAATCTTGGTACATTAAGGTAGTAAGTGAAATTTCCATAAAAGAAATTATGAACGGCAGATGGGAAAATGCATCATTCCCACCCTCAGCCTTACTTCGTCTTTGGACGTCTGTGACTGAATTATTTTATATAACTTCTTAGCACTATTGTTGATGCGTTTTGTAAGTACTTAAGATTTAATCAACTTGAAATTCACTATTTCCTGTCCATAATACTGATTAATTTATTGATAACTTTTAAATGTATACCACAAATACTATAAAACATAGCACAATACAAATAGACTTATAATTAAATTCACTTAGTATTGTTTGCTCGAATCTTCCCATTGATGTTTAGGACTGCAATTGATCAGTCTCTAATTGGCATACGTGCATACTGTGCGTATTGCCTCGATATAGCCTCAATTCACAAACATTATAAGCAGAGATGGATACTGGCTAGCAGTGGAATCCAGTTTGACGTTTCGTCCTATCTGGGACTCGTCAGTTGGATGTACTTGCATCTCAGAGATGATGTTCACTATGGGACTCTGATTGGATGACACGGTGGCGTTTGAAGCGAAAGGTACTGGGTTTGAGTCCCAGAGTTAACATCAACTCTGAGATGAAGGTGCATCCAGCTAACGAGTTCCAAATAAGACGAAACGCACGTTCTGGATTCTACTGCTAGCCACTATCCATCTTTACCTATAATAGACTTATAATTGTTTTTAGCTTGGAAACGAAATTAGTAAAAATTACATCCATTCACTTTGTTTTTTTAAAATATGTTTTAGGGATTTCTAAAAAATTGTTTTGAGCATTAATCGATCAGACTTGACCTAGTCAATAACCTGTGTCCTTAAACATGTCTCTAATACGAAAAGTTGTACAGATTCAGATCCTTTTTTTTCCTTTTTTTGTAAAAGAAACTTGTTGAAATACCTCGTGCTGAGAATTCTATATTGTACCAAAATATAATACTGAATAAAGCCAATAATAATAATCAGACCAATCAAAAACACATTCAACGCATCATTCAATTATATTTATCATACGATTATTGTATTTCCAAAGTTCATTCATGTTGGATGACAAAGATATGCATATTTATGGAAGTAATTTGATAGTTATTCTCTTTTTTATATTTAGAAAAAAAAGCACCTTTCTTCCTTCATTAGAAGTTAATTGACATTGTTTATTCTCATTATCATCATCATCATTAAATACATGTAGTATATTCTGATTATACATATTTAACAAAATATTATGAACAAAGGTCTTTAATTACATACTTCATTCTTGGTTTATAAATGTTGCCATGGTAACTCTTTCCTTTTTTTCATTATTTGCAACAAACCATTTCATATATAACACTTCATATTTATTAATAGTAAAAAATAGAAAATTTTAAATGTACAGACTATTCTTAAGATTATTTCTATTATAAATAAATGAACCTTGTATTGTCTATTCAAAATTATTGTTTATGTATTCCGATGTATTACATGTAAATGAATAATTAAAGTATACTAATACTACAGCGTGGACAGGACACTACGGCGTGCCTGAGAAGATAGTCAATATTATACGGAACTCCTATGATGTATTAAACTGCAAAATCGTCCACGGAGGACAACTCACCGACTCATTCGAGGTAAAGACCGGTGTGAGGCAAGGTTGCTTACTCCCACCGTTTCTCTTTCTCCTGGTCATCGACTGGATCATGAAGACGTCAACATCTGGAGGAAAGCACGGGATACAGTGGACAGGCAGGATGCAGCTTGACGATTTAGACTTCGCGGATGATCTGGCTCTTCTATCACAAACGCAACAACAAATGCAGGAGAAAACGACCAGTGTAGCAGCAGCCTCAGCAGCAGTAGGTCTCAATATAAACAAAGGGAAAAGCAAGACTCTCCTATACAATACAACATACACCAATCAAATCACACTTGACGGAGAAGCTTTGGAGGATGTGGAAACCTTTACATATCTGGGCAGCATCATTGATGAACACGGTGGATCAGATGCAGATGTGAGGGCGAGGATCGGCAAAGCAAGAGCAGCATACCTACAGCTGAAAAACATCTGGAGCTCAAAACAATTGTCAACCAACACCAACCCCAGAATTTTCAATACAAATGTCAAGACAGTTCTACTGTATGGGACGGAGACGTGGAGAACTACGAAAGCCATTATCCAGAAGATACAAGTGTTTATTAACAGTTGTCTATGCAAGATACTTCGGATCCGATGGCCAGACACTATCAGCAACAACCTACTGTGGGAGACAACGAACGAGATTCTATTCAGCGGAGGAAGAAATCAGGAAGAAGCGCTGGGAGTGGATAGGACGCACATTGAAGAAATCACACAACTGCATCACAAGGCAAGCACTTATATGGAACCCTAAAGGCCAAAAAACGCATTATGCCGAGAAATAGAGACAGACATGAGAAGGATGAACAAAACCTGGATAGAACTAGAAAGAAAGGCCCAGGACAGAGTGGGTTGGAGAATGCTGGTCGGCGGCCTATGCTCCATTGGGAGTAACAGTCGTAAGTAAGTAAGTAGTACTACAGTTTTAAATTCCTTTCTTTTATTTTAATGGATCAATAAAATAATTTAGTTTAAACAAATAATGGATGATCAATTTGTGGATATTTAAAGTTTAACGATATGTATATGCCAAAGATGCATGGTCTACCTTAAATATATAACCCAACATTACACGTCTTTTTAATGAGTAATTCAGTATATCGTAAGCTCGCTTTATGATTCGTTCAGTTGATCGAATCTGTAAGGAAATAAGTAGTCGTACACAGTTTGAGAGATAGTTTTGACTTTTTATAGTAGAATAGATGGTACCAAGTTGAGAAGAAAGTAAAAGGTTTCTTTCAGTGTAGTCTTCGTTTATCAAAGTCTAAACATAAAAGATTCGATATAGTGTATGTGGTTACGCTGATAAGATTAACTTTCCGAAAGAAGGCTGGTAGAATCATATCTGTTATACACGAAATTTTTTCCCTGTTTATTTAATGTGAAGTATTATAGAGGGACAGAAAGTTTAACTTGTGCAATCCTCTTGACCTAATATTAACTAACATTTTTTAAGTACAAATTAAAAAAACCAAACTCAAGTATGCGATAAAATAAACGTTTTATTTGAAATGTGCTTCTGATACTTTCATCATACGTAATAACTGATACCATGTTGATCAGTTACATATCAGCTCAGAGTACAAGACAAAATCCATTAAACTTGTTCTATTTTCTTATAAAATTTCCTGAACGGGCAATACTCTCAACGATGATAATTAGACAGAAGGCAAACTTTTACGTTACGCAGAAGTATTAGCTATTTGTCGTCTCCACTCTAATCTGCGTACATAAAATGAACCGTTGTTTCACCTGGCGTTGCCATGGTCATTGATTCACTACTACTCATTCATCCCTTCTTTCGTCCAAAATATTCTTCTGAAGTATTCTAAAATATCAAACAACCAAATTTAAAAATTCATAACTGATCATGTGTCCAACCATCGACTGAGGTTATAATTATCAATCAGCATATACGTATATTCACTAATATTTTGTACAACTTATAAGTATCATCTGATATATTAGTCAAACTGGTTTGTAACAAATTATCACGTGTATAGTTCAGTAGTTTCTTAACACAAAGTAATTTTTCAACAGAGATTCCTCATTGATCATAATCTGTTAGTCATATTATTCATAACTCAGATTCATGAAATTGACAGGAACAATTACTGAATTTTAAATAATCTCATCTAGGCTCTTCCATGAATCGAGACATTCAAATTAATTTTCAGTTTTGACCAGTGATTTCGAGGGTTTTTTTCAGTCTGATTGAATGCATATTTGTACACGTATAAATTTCCAACAATTTTAAGTAATCACCATGTTTACTGATTGTACAAACTGATTACCATGAGGTAACTGGGAGAAGATTCTTTTTTGCATGTTAATGTGAATTTGCAGTGGATCAATATTTGATTTGTGCTCAAGAAGAAATTTTGGATTTCATCCAAAAATATTTATTCAGATACACTTTTGATGATAGGATGATTTGTCGTACAATCAAATGAATGCTAAAATATATTGGTCAAGAATATCACAATAACAAAATAATTTTTATTTATTATCCAATAATCTGGGAGCACTGGGTACAAATCAGAAAGATTTAGTTACTATAATCACAAGATAATGATGATATTACTTTAAAAATACAAAGATAGTAATGAACAGAATGAAGAGTATGATTCGTTAAGAAAGAAAGAAAAATATGACAAAGTGTAGTAAGAACATTTAGAAGTTTCATAAATCAAGCCACGAACGAATTGTTTGTACCTCAATTTGACGAACTTGACGTGCTGATGGAGGGTCGTTTGGATCTGGTGATCTATGTGATTGAAGAATAAGAAAAGATATGAGAAAGAAGAGAACAAACTAATATTATCAATAATACTGTAACTGTCTTTAATAATTTGGAATTTGCCCTAATAATTTCATCTCGCCGTGTTAATGGGGGTGTTAACAACTTGAACCGATGTACATGCGTACCGGATTCTACGTTGAGTTTGACAGACAGATTGACTGACATCGAATAAATACCTTATCAACTCATGAGTGAATGCAAATTTCAACAGGTACTATATGACTATTGATCAAAGAGTCGAGGTTATTAATTCATCCCATTTAGTCAGGTAAATTTTTGTCAAAGGATATACTTAGCTAAGCAGGTTAATTACAACATGGTATGGGTTACATGAATGACTGACTATAGTGTTTCTATGAGGTAGAGGAAATCGGTGGCTCGAGTAGCATGACTGGTGAATATGTATACACTTTTCGATGTCACACAACATACTACTCCGTTACTCTTCAACTTAATCTTTGATGATTTACTTACACAGGTAGGTACTGATGAACAGTTTGGCAAGCCTAATTCATTTATCAACTGAATTATTTATTATTTATTTGAACACATAAATATTAATAAAAGGAGGCACCAGATATATATGCGCCACACAAAAGAAATCGTAATTTCATTTAATTGTGTGAGGGCTAGTATACTGCCCGGATGCCCAGACCGAAGCAGGTGGTTTTTTTAGGGGGGCACAACCCGAGTCTTTGACCTAAAGGTCTGATCCACAAGCCAGTGGAGCATTGTAAGGAGATGCAATTCCATGGTAGCCGGCGACCAACAATTGGTTCATACGCCATTTGTTCCTTCAGGACACTGGAGCCCATGTGCACCATTGGTTTGGAATGAGGGTTTTCCAACTCCCCTAGGTGAACTCGCCATGTCCACCAACCAGGTTAAAGCGCCGGACATTCGTTTTTCGTCCTCTCAATTTCGTAAACAACAGTAATGTCAAGAGAAGGCAGTGAGTAGGACTTCCCTGGCAGATGTTGTGTAAGCGTGGCCGCATGAGAGCATTTCGAGGGAGAGGACGAGCCCTCCACACTCTTGGCCGTATCCGGGAACTTGAGAGCTTATCAACTGAATATTTTTCAGCAGCTTAAAGATCCTCATAGAATATTCAAAAATGAACAATGTTTGAGCGAACAATTGTTTGCAATAACTTTATCATCAGGTCCTACAGTTGTAAGTCCATAACTATGATATTTTACCGGATACCTAAAGTGAATATTATAAACCTCTTATCCCCACCTTTTTTAGAATAACTCTATCTTAATCTTCACGTCCATTATTCCCAATTTGTTCATCGTAATTACCTTGATAACACCCCTCTCGTTATATTCATACAACAATCTTATTATTATTACTATTTATCATTACTATCTCAATTGACATGATATTCTCCTGCCATGAATTTCATCCACACGATTTTTTGCATTTTCATTTTTTCATAGTTGAAATCATGAGTCAATTGAAGCTGGACCACCATAGAAAACCTGGACGGCCGTTTCGTCCTATTATGGGACTCCGCAGTGCGCATCCACGATCCCGCCTCGCGAGCGAGATTCGAACCCAGTACCTACCAGTCTCGCGCCAAAGCACTTAGCCGATATACCACTGAGCCGGCGGTGTTAATGTCTAACATCAACCAATCCACGATTTTGAGCAACCGTTCACCAATTGTCTTCAGTGAGTTGATATCTCTACAACAGACTTGGTAGAAATACACTGGTCACTGCTTCCCACTAGAACTCAAGGTTTTCCATGGTGGTCTAGCTTCAATTGACTCATGATTTCAACTATGAAAATACTAAATTTTCCACAAAACCCCTTCTGATTTTCATTTTTGCTATAATACTATTACGTAGATTATGAATAGACACTACTCAAAATCATTCTGACCTTTATTAAATGACCTTTCTAATTTATAAATAACACAATTTTGAAGTATATATGCAAACGTTCACCATTTTTAACATATAACATCATTATTACATGCCTTATTTTGACCATTGTAAAATGTCATAATTATGGACTTATAACTGTAGAGCCTGATGATGAAGTTATTGAAAATAATTGTCCGCTCAAATATTGTTCATTTTTGAATACCTTTCATTAAACTGAAATAATTATAAAGACAAACCGGGAGAGAAAAACTAAATACCTTAAATCAAGATGATGAGCTCCACCATCTAGTACCAAGGAGATGACTTTCTCTGATTGATCAGTTAAAATCTAACAATGATAAAAATGGAAAAAATTGATTAGTGCAAAGTTTGACTTCAGACATAGATAAGTATAATATTTGTACATTGCAAAAAATTATCGGTTTCTATAGTTTTAGCAATTACATCGATTTGGTAGAAAACCATAAAGATACTGTACCCTGAATATAATACGATAAATTATCATGTTTAACTACACGACATATATCATTTTAATGAATAAATTGTATACGAACACTGTGATAATAAATATGATCGAATTGACCTAATAACCATAGTAACAACTGTGGAGTCTATTAAAAAAATGATTACTTATTAAACTACTATTAATTAGTAATTATGCTGTCCAACTATCGATCTAATGTCAGTTAATTAGAATTAATTAAGTACCATTAACTTGAATGATACGATAGATTTGCTCTGAATTAGTGACAGCAATATAACAGTCGATCTAAACTGACAGGAATGTTTATTTCTTAGAGTCCTACTATAATAAGAAAATGGTTCGAAGAGTGATTAAGCTAACAAACAAGACTATCATAGTATTTTACCATGTTCTATTGACATAGCAGTTTACGAATATGATCTGATTAGTGAGTATGGGTATGATAGCAGTACGATTTTTTTTCATTAGTTGTAGAGATTAGAAATATATCAGTCAAAAAGTTTTACATTTCACTATCTTTTTGGGTATTCTGTGGATAGCTTTTAGTTCTACAGAGAATCTAAAACACTTTGTGCCATTTGTAAATACAAAGACTTATGTTGTTTAACCATAAAGAGATATCATTTCACATTTGTTGATAACAGTTAGATGATCAACATTTTATATTTACCTGAAACATATATGATTTAGTAAGCAGTAAATATACCTTTGAAAGACAAGACAAAATATACGGTTTAGAATACGGTCTATAGTTAACTTTTATAATGGTGAAGCGGATTTGTAGCTTAAAAGGATTATTTGCTGATTATTTTACCGATAAGGACAATGAAAGCTTCACGATTAGACCACTATCACACTCAGGTAACGCAACTTCAAAAATAGTTGGCTTTTACTTTTTAGTCTCGGTGGTATAGTCATAGATGCCTACTGCTGATGAATCCCACACTTGGATGAAACAAATGTCTAATGCTTACCAGTTCTTAGTGGTCATCAAACCTAGGTCCTTTCGTGTGATCCCAACTACAAAGCATGGATTCCAACAAAAAGATACAACACTCTCACCAAAATTAAAAGAAAAATTATCCACAATTTCATATTAATTATATAAATAAAACATGAGGTCGTAGAAAACACGTCTGATTCATAAAAAACTCTATCCATAAATTAGAATTAGTGGGAAAAAACAAAAATAGATCATATATCCTACTTACTCCACCACCCATCCATGGATCCAAATTTCCATTTGAAAATATAATATTACTTGAAGTTTTCCAAACTGAAAGTATAGTGATTTAGATATGTTTTAACGGTTAAGATGAAAAGAGTTAGAATAATGGGATAAGAAATGTAACAATCTAGGCTAAATGATTCACATTATACACTAATATTAAACAGAGAACCACCACAAATTGCTGAACAGTGATCAGGCAACCGGTTCATTTTAATCTACGATTCCTTAGTGGTGAATGCGTACCACCATCCAACACGAAGATCTTCAACCACAGAGTAGAAATTCAGTGATCCATAATTTTTCGACTAACTGATACATAAAAATACAGGTTCAGATTCATTATAGCATTGTAGATAGGTACCTCAGGAGAATCCATAACTGGGACTAAGCAACTGTTTACTGTCTTTTTAATAAGTCAACATAGCTATTACCAGACAGTCTGAAATGAAAAACATTGCCAAATTAAGTAAATTTTCACAAAACACCTAACTTAAAGAGGCTATATTATTCCATCCACAATTTAATATAATAAATAAAATGAATATATTTAGCTTAACATCCACAATATGAAAAACCAAGTATCAGAACTACAAAAATACGTGACAAAATAAACTGTGACCTCCAGACAAAAGAAATTAATTTGAATTAATACTAAACGACAAAGTGAAACCGACTAATTCTCAAAGTTTACATCACGAACTGACTTCAGTTAAACAATTATCGAAAACCACGAAGCACTGAACCCCTTAATAGTGAGTGTTAACGACCCATGACCCTTAGTTTTCGAGAGCGAACGCTTGACTTTAATCAAATCTTGATATTGGGTAACCACCTCCCAATATCACTGGTGGATAACTGCTTCACACACAACCCGGCTGAACTCTATTGATCACAGCTTTACACTAGAACTCCGGGGAATTATCTTTTGAAATTGTTCACTGGTGAGGACAGTGACACTTGAGTGGCGCATATGTATCCGGTGCCTTTTGTACCAATATATATGTGATTAAATAAATAAAAATAAATGAAAGTCACGCATTTGAAGCTCAGTTAGGTCATGAATACTACCCAGTGCTCTATTTGTTCCCAGTGATTATATAACTAAGGTCTCTTAGTTATATAAACTACAAGAAATCCTAGTTACATAGAAAAACGTAAACAACAGAAAGAAAGGATTGTTAATGATAAAAATACTAATGGGTTTGCCATAATGTTAATAATAAACATAAATAAGTATAGACAATGTTGAAAAGATACGTATAAGAAGGATTTACAAATAAACACCACATAAACAGCTATATTTTATTCATGGACAAATATGATTTGTTGGAAAACGGAAATCGAGATTTAACAAGCCAATCTTTTTTTTACTTTGTATATGTAATTATGTATCATTTAAACAAAGTTTATTCAATATTTTCCATTTATGCACTGGAGATTATCGGTTAGACGATAGACACGTTTAACCAGTAAGGACATAAGATAGAACTTCCATTGAATTCAAGATTATCATATTAAATGATTGAACTAAGCTGTAAAAAATTCATTTGATGTATAAGACATTTGAAATTTGTAATTAATTATTTACTTAGTGAATAGCGAAAAAAATCCTGTTAATAAAAATCCTTCATTTTTGGAAATATTAAGTAATAAAAAGAATAAATTAAGTCAACAATCATAACAAAAACAACAATATAACGTACTATTATCACCATAAAATGTTGACAACTGATTAAACGCTGGTGTAACACCCCACCTTCGTTGACAATAACTTGTTACTTGTTGTTTTGTTAGAGGTAAAGAGACGAACATATCATTTGTAGTACTATCCGAGTCATCGTGTAAATTCATTTCGGTACAACTCTAAAATAGGAAAACAATTACAAAAGAGAAATTTTTTGATGATAAACAGAACGAAACGGTTAGTATAGATAATTAAGTGCAAAAAAATAATCTAACAATCATATTGGTTGTACACCAGGACTGTGCGTTTGATAAGTCAAACAGTCCGAAGTAACACAGAACCAAGTATATACGCGTATCTATCCGAATTGCAATCACAACGAAGTGAAATCAACAAGATGAGTACCAGAATAACAGTAGTTGTACTGTAGTGAAAGAACCCTTGGTGGGGAAAATCAATTTATTGTTTAACGCAAAATCATGCAGCGGTTTGGGAAAACATGAAAATCATACATTAAATATATCATATGCATATCTTTTTTGCGTTGTCCTTTACATACTCCATTATTCCTTTAATTCTGTTGTTACTTCGATTGCTCTTAGGTTTCCTTCCTATTCGCTTAAATTCAATTTACTGGGGCCAGGCATTCCACTTTCGTTCGGTGCTGCATACTACTTTATATCTGTCAACAAAAATAGCATACACCACACTTGTCCCTCGTTTGAACCGTCGTTCCTACGGTTATTCTGTTTACTGTGCCGCGCTCTCCATCGAAGCATCGAGTCCGCCGGCGAGCTGACCTCCGTAGTTCTATCGACCTGCCGGACCATCTAAATCCAATGTCCACCCAGCAGCCGAGCGTCCCACTTCTCCTCTTTGTTGATAGTGACTTATACACCTAACGCCACCCCGCCAGAACGTTCCATTCGACGCCCCCTATCCGCAGTAGTAGTAGTAGTATAGACGGTAGTAAATGAGTTTAGGAACAGAGATTTGAGACCAAGGAATTTGTACAATAAAAGGTATAACACAATTGTGAAACTCGGTATCTAAAAGAAGACAAAGAGTGACTTCATCAGTGCCATAGTGACCGATTTTGAGCCATGTTAACGGATGTTTCCAAACATTAGTTACCATAATTACGCGGGCCCCAACCAGGTAGTCTGTACCTGGGTAAACAATAATCTTGTACAAATTTGTGTTCAAAGATTAAAGCTACAATAAATATTCAAAGGCTAGTCATATATGATAACATTTTTGTAGAAAAAGTTACATCTTGCAAGTCCGCCTGTTGACTTATAAATCTTCACCACATACATTTGGTTTACTGGTAATTAATATTTACCAACAGTAATAGCCTGAAATAAAAACTATTTGACAGATAGGATTATGGGATTATAATCGTGAAATTCAAACAGACCTCTCTTCTAAAGAGAAAACAGAGATTCTATTCTGTACATTGAAGATTTCTTTAATGTTACATTTCAAATAATAGTCGTCATATTACTGAAATGTTTTTATGAGAAGTAAAACAGCCATGTACTTAACAACAGGGAAAATTGTGATACGTTTAATAGCAATTAATCTTGATTAATAGGTGAATTTATTAGGATATCTTTGAGTCTTAGCAAAAAAGTGGTAAATTTCACGCCACCAACTCACTACAAGTGATTTTAAATATCTCAACCGCTTCGCTCTACATTGAGATTGAGTTCGTTAGTTAGACAAAAAATAAATTATTCAAAGATTTTCACAATAACAAATCACATCTTAAAGCTGATATATCCATACTTCATGGATTAAATTTAATAAGACCGAAATAATTACTGACCTGAAAATCCCAAGCAAGTGAATCACTACCTAGACCACATCCTGTTATATCAGCACATTCAATAAACTGGGTTTTATAGTCAAAACACGGGAGAGCTAAAATTTAATTTTTTTTTTAAAACAAAACATACTTTTATTATTATCAGGGTAAATTAAGTTTTATATTGGGAACTAAATGATTGATGGCAGTTATGCGACTCCTAAACACTTATTTTTGCATACAGATTAACAGAAAGGTGCTCACTTAGAACTAAAGCACTTTACATAGTATAAACCGTATTTATATACGATTTTAATTGCATTCAACCTTCTGAGATGGCTTCTTTGACGATAATGAAAATCAAAAACAATGAAATAAATTACATGGTAATGAGTTAATAGAAATACTAGTAGATACACTACAGAAATCTTAAGGCTTACAAAAAAACATATGAAAAGTAGTTAGATAGTGGCTTTTGATTCACTTCTAATATTCTACTTAGCAATTATTGCAAGTAGGTTTGATTCAGTTTAACGAGTATACACAACAGGCAAACCTGAAATACATAAGTGTGGGATCCATGAATTCCATAGCGAAGACACAAGAAAAAAAATATTTTATCCGGTACCCATTAGGGGATCGTGAGTATAAACATTTCAATACTATTTTCAACAGATTGGTGGATTAGACTGATTTTCATTTAGCCAATCATGTTGGTTTATGGGACAAATTCCTTATATCCCATGGGGACTAAGAGGAATCGTGGATCAATCTTTTCTCGGACAATTCACTTAAATATAAAACGAAGAAAGAAAGAACGATTGAAATATTCAAATTACATCGCCCTAAAAATTAGGACCTGGAATTTATTTACTTATAAACAATATTTTGCTTTGGACTTAATGTTAAGACTGGACTAAAATATGTGGAACTTGGGAAACCACATATTTAAGACGATTCTGAATATTCCGAGGAAAATTTAAATCAGCAATTTCTTCTCAGTCTCAAATACAAGCTTCCTTTTTGTTTAACAATCAATATTCTATTCTTTATCGTTTAAAAAATAGTTGATCGGGTTGCTTAACTACTTACCTTAGTTGTATGTTTACAATTTGTTGTACATTTCAATAAGATAATTGAAACAAAAGTATCATTAACAAATTATTTGACTATTATTAGCTTCAGTGGTGGAAAAGAGAACCTGTAACTTTTCAACAGCATATAGTTTGGTTAAATGAGATGGAATGTCTGCTTTAGTAGTATAAACTATAGATAAGTTATAAAACACAGCTTACACGTTTTTGTATCCCATTTCAGAAAACCATCAGAGTAATGTGAGTGTAATTATAATACGTGACATCTTTGAACTGATATTTTTCTTCACCAGTTTTATAGTTATAATCATATTCCCACCTTTTCCATAAATCTTGATTCTCTTTACAGTCGATTGATACCGTTCGTGAAAATACTACAGTAGTGTATTCAATGTTTTATTATCATACTAGAAACATTTCTCCTCACAATTTGCATAATTCTGTGTCTGTCTTACTAAATTTCATGGATTAATTACAATCCCATAAAACAAGACAAAACAGAAATCCTCCTGAAAACTGATGTTGCAGTGATTAGGTCGATCATAACAATTTATATCTCATTACTTTTTCATAATATCGTAGTTTCGCATTGTATTCTCAAAAGTCACTAAAGAGCAACACTCCCCAATTCTTTAACACCGAATTCATCGGGGTTATTTTTTGTTCTGTTCTCAAGTCTGAATCTTTTAACTCTATCCAGTGGTTTGCATGGCTTGAAAGCTACTTCTATGCAGAAGTTGCACAACAGATGTGTAATATATTATTGAGACATGACTTTGAAATCTTTTATGATACTGTGAGATAAGAATAGATCTAAGTTCAATCTACATCTGACCAACAAAAAATTAATCAACTTTTAAGTAACTTCCACTATGTATATAAAACAACAATGTAGTTATAAGGGTTAATGAAAAGTTTAACGAGACTGAAACTTAGATAGCAAATATTTCTCTCAACCAAAGATAGATATCAGGTATTAGTATTTGAAGATAAGGGTATAAATATTGATCAGCTAGCTGATACTATCGGATAAATGTACTAACGCCTTCGTCGTAAAGTCCGTGGATCTTATGGGCTGAAAGAGGTAAGTCTGATGACAAGCGAGTAAGAACGTATTCACATGAAATATCTCAAAAAGTATAATAAAAATCAATGGAATATGGTAAACATACATTGTGAACTGTTGTAGAAAACTCCAACAGCCTCACGAAGGGTCGGAATGAGATCAGTTACTGCTAATGCATTTTTGCACGAGACATTTACAGGATTAGCAGGTAGACTTGCCATAAATGATGCCTTGTAGGGATAATCTAACATAGCCATCATAACAAATGCATTGCGAGCCCATTTCAGTACCCAGTAAAATTCGAAATCATTTTGGATAGGTTTACATAACTGTAGGTCATTAGAGAGTTGTTTGTAACCTGTGAAATGATATTTTTGTAAATACTTTAAACAAGAGTTAAGCATGGATATGCATCTCAAAATCTATGGTTGTTTATACAATAACTTGGCAATAACACCAAGATTAATACTTTAACTGATCAACCAAAGATTAATATACCCGGAGAAAAATTCGAAAACAAAATCAAACAGCGAAAATCAAGAAAATTAATACAATAATGTCACACCTTGAAACAGAATGAAAAAAGGTAACAGGAAAGATAAATACGCACAAAATGAGCTTTGCTTATAAGCTTTAGTATTAGTAGGTGAGTGTATAATAAATACAGGTATATTGAACTGAACTTGATTTACTAAAACAACGTTTAAGCGTTTATCCCTATGAGTAAAATAACTAGTATTAGTGTCGTCATTAAATAACTGTAGACAACTGTAACAAGTAGCAGAAATTAATAAATGGTCACCAAACACTTTTTTAAGGATACTTCATAAATATTGAAATCAGTAAACATTTTTGGAAGCATAAAACTGGTATAGTTGAAGAGTTCACTTGACCTAAACTTTTCGAGGTGAACCCTTGAACTACCTTCCGGTCCATCTAACTGAGTCCTAAATAAATCTTCCTTCTTGCCATACCATGCACTCAGAATTACTGTGAATTTTAGACTGAGGTCGAAATTAGCGAATGACTTTGGAACTGTATTCACTTTTTTCTGAAAACGGAGATTACTTTGTGGGGACAATCACGTTACTTATAAGTTGTAACCCGCACTTACATATTCAGATCTACGTTGATTTATACAAAAGCTAACTATAAATATGTCTGTGTACTTACAAATCAAATACAAATCAAAGGACGTTATTGTAAAAAAAAATCGAATGCAAAGATCTAAAAAAAAATTGCAGGATAGAATTTTGTACTGATATTTTGGTGAACAGACACTATAAGCTCAAGCAAATATTCATTATTAGTGGTGTTACATGGAAGAATAACTCAATCAATGTTTGTGAAAACCTTTTACAGCCTACCGATATCAGGTTTCTGTGATAGTTGAACAGCTAAATTAAAGGCGTTTTTAATTTTTTCTGAACATTTTGGATCAGCATCACGATAGTCCTAATAAATAAAAATACTCATCAATAACAAGAGTACTCACCTTAGTGACACTTTCAAAAAAGTCATGAAAATTCCCCTCGCCTGCAACCCATCTAACTGGTGCACTTGAAGCTAAAGCACCTTTAATTATATGAGGATATTTAGCTCTCATATATGCTGCAAGCATGCCTCCATAGCTGTGATACAAACTAAACATGAAATACAGAATTTACCTTCCACCAAATGCAACAACAAGGGATCTAGTCATGTTGAATGTACTTTTGATACCTTCAATTAAATAAGCATAATCTGCTAATGCTTGGTCAATTGAAAGGTATTGAATATATGGCTGCTGGAAGCTTGTATTAAATGGGAGACTTTTCCCATAGTATCTCTGATTCGAATAACTAGTTACTGAATGTACTTAACACATACATGTTCAGCAAACAGGACGAAAGCATTGAAACTAGGTGCTAATTCGAATATTAGCCCTGTATTGTTCCAGAAACTATCAATTCCTCCTTCGTTTCCACAATAAAAGAAGATGGGTCCGTTTGGTTTGAACCATTTATCTATTTTTTGAAAAAAATCAATTAAAATATATAAATACCTTACCTTCATACAGGTAACGCTGTTTGAAAGTCAGGTTTCTTGCTTGAAAATTAAAGTGATCCAAAGTTTGATCAAAATAGTTTTCTTTCGGTGGCCACGGTATGGATGACGATGAGACATATAAAGTGCAAACAAACAGGAAGAATCGCAAAACAGGGTTTTGATGCACCATGAACCCAAGAGCTATAAATGATGGATATATGGTATGATGAATTTTCAGTAACTAGCACGTCAGGTAGTCCACTTTAAAGACTAAGGTTAACAACATAGGGATTAATTTAATCTGATAAAATTGAATTGTATAGACAAAAATCTACAACGTTCCTATCATCGTTGGTCTTATAAGTGGTAAAATGTTAACCATATATGTAGAAAACAACAAGGATTTCGAGGCCTCCATTGGTCATCTGAATATCAGTGAACACCAAAACTGACATATTTTTGTATCGAAAACTCATAGAAAGACTCAGTAAATAATCAATAAGACCCGATACTCGTAACACTTTTGTTTATCCATCGATTTGCTTTACTACGTTTAACTCGTTACTTGAATACCAGCAACAGTTTATGTTGTGGCTTATTGGTTAAGAAGTTTAGCTTTCAACCACTAAATCGAAGGTTTGATTACCTCTTCATCGACTTTGGTAAGGGCAACCGAGTAGTATTATTAGCCCTCACATTTGGAGTGTAGCTCATACCTAAGTATCTGGTGAACGAGTTGGTTTTCTTTCGTCCTCCAGTTCATCTGATTTACTAAAGCTCTATTTATTTACTTATAATTTAAGAGGCAAAACTAAATAAAAGGGGAAGACTGGGAAGCCATGGTGATCTAATTCCGATGACAGACTATTATAAGCACCCAATCCACCGACAAAGTTCAAATAAATGGATTTCAGCAGGTCCAAAATAGACTTTGGTGTATTATTTAATTACATACGGTACTAAAAAGCTTGTTGATCAACAGATCCAAGTGCAATCATCGGGTTGAAAAAGACTAACACAGTGAGGAGCTAGTATGCTTTTATTTCAAGGGATGAAAATTTGATTTATTCGTCGATGGCAAGGTTGAAAACCCACTTAGAATGTTTGGTCACATTGTTCTTGAATTCCAGTTCGGCATCAGCTGATAAAAATGAGTCGACATCTTCAAAAACCTGTAGGCCTGTTTCCCATGTTGCACTACGTCAAATATACCCTTTATGAACATCATAGCATAAAATTTCCTTTGTGAGACAAGGAGAGGAAGCTGTAGCGGTATTAATAGTCTTGTTGACCTAGAAACTGGATCGCTGATCTCAAGTGATGATAGTTTGAAGTCGATTACCCACGATCGATTTGTGAGTGGTTACTATGTTACTATTTTCATATCCTTCATGCCTTACTGTACTGAGGACCTGTGTGGCAAAGGAGTGTATTTATTTCAGAATTGACATTTTCCAGACCCTCATTTTGTTTATGGGAAGGCCAATGGCCAGTTGGAAAAGCCTGGCTGCTGCTACATCTGGGTACAGTTTGTAGTAAAGTTACTTAGAACGCAGAGCTTGCGGCTTTTATTATCATTTTGATCGATATCTGACTTAAGTCAGACGAGATGAGAAGGGCCTGAAGTTCTACAATGATTTGCCCTTAGCCTTAAGTATTTCAATACATTAAAAGTATTGTCCTCTTGTTACGTCTGGCCGATTGAACGCTATATTCGCCTCCCTAAGTTAGTTCCGTACCCCCGAGCTAGAACTATACACCGACTTGAAGACCAGAGAAAAGGCACAAAGTGTGAGGGAAGCACTTTATTACAGGGTTCCTTTATGTACAGAATATACAGGGATTTTATAGTAATTTAAGAGTCCCTGAGTTTTACCGAAAGTTCTAGAATACTGCTAAACATAGTAGCAGTATATTAATCAGCCAATCAGGATCTCCACATGTGACTTTTTCACTCTCGTTATTTTAGTAAAATAACTTCACATAACTTCTAATTAATCGCTGATTGGTTGAAAATGCTCCTTGATGACCCATGAGCTTGTCATGTCGCTTGCGAGAAAATTGCAGGGTCATCCCAACACCTCTAATACTTCCATATTATCCAAAAATAAAGCTATTAGTACGCCTTTAACTTTACATCTAATTCCGAACCTTTCCAGTTCATAATTATGCTTAAGTAGAGTCTCGTTTTTTCCTGAAGTGATTGTTGGAAACTAGCTGACTAATCTAAAAAAGTTGGTATATGGCTAAGTAGTTGGTATTTACATGGCGCATCGCAGCAGCAGTGATTTTACTATAAAACTAAAACAATTCCACTGGTCTGACTAACATCCCAACCTACCGATTTTGGGGTTTTCTTCAAAGCCAAATGTCCAGTGGGACTATAATTTCTAGACGAATTAATCAGGAAAAAGATAACAGCTCCAACATTTTGGCACGAAATTCATCCCTCCATAAATTATAGTCTCGCCGTTTGCTTAGTCTCTGATAGAATCTCCACATGACTGTCTTACATATTTATTGACTAGGAATGATTTGGTGGCTTATATGTATAACCAAAGAAGGTACATTTTACAGCTCAGTAGGAGTTATTATCGTCTGAAGCAGAGAAATTACAACTACAAACTTATAGGGAGCTAATATCCCCACTATTAGTTTATTCCCAACACATAAGAACAAATTACCTAATATCGGCTGAAACCGCGAAAATGAGGACAAAAACACTACTATGGCATCATTGCTTGTAGTGCAGTTTTGATAACATTGACAACAATAGTTTTTATGATAACATATGCCTAAATCATGTTACTCCGTGCAAAAATAAATTATTTGTCCACTCTTCGTATATATTTAGGTGGAAACAGTTGCTAGCGTGCAATGAAATCATGGAAAAACTATTGTAACAGCAGCGGATTAATGAATTTTCAAGGATTTTGCGATACCACGTGCCGTAAAATAGAAAAGCCCTTGTTCACTTAGTTTTAGAATCGTAAAGTAAACTTTTAAATTTATTCATAATTAACTTGGACTGTTGGCTGTTCACAAAGCAGAAATAAAAAATTAGCCCAAAAAATCCGCGATACTTCAGGACCAGATCATACCTGCCTCCACGACCTTGTGTGGCCTAGAACAAATGGTTCAAATGGTTGAGGATGGAATAGAAGAAGCTTTCGCTTAATGAGCTTCCGTGTCTGGTAACAGTGGATCACCAATACCTCCAGGCAAACACCTAGGTATATGAACGATAATAGAGGAAAAAAAGAATTTGGTAAATCATAATAAGTTATCCTTAGTCCTTAAGAATAAGTCAAGTTTCCTCTTAAAGGACTCCTGGGAGGTCGCTTGGACTTGCTCAGTTGGCAGCGAATTCCAGCACTTGACAACTCTAACGGAGTAGAAATTGTGTTTGCAGTCTGTTCTGCTATGTAGGGTCTCCAATTTCTGGGTGTTACCTCTTAGGTTAGTGTTATGACTAAGCTTAAGAAGATGTTTAAGGGGATGACCAGAAGTTTTGCTTGAGAGGCGTTTTTGTCACAGTTCGCATACGATTTCAGGTCATAGGGTAACAACACTCCTAAGTCTTTTTCGACTTGGGAAACTTCTAGAGGGGAGTTACCTAAGTTATAACTATAGTCTGCAACATGTCTCAGATGGACTACCTTGCACTTTGAAGTGTTGAAGGTAAGTCCGTTGTCGTCTGCCCAACTTTGAAGTCGGGTCAGATCCTCCTGAAGAACTAGTATATCATTATGATTACGTATCTCTCTCCAAAGTTTCACATCATCAGTAAAAAGCAATAAGTCAGATGAAACTTGTTGAGGAAGATCATTAATATAAATCAAGAAGAGAAGAGGTCCTAGTGTAGAGCCCTGGGGGAACCCACTAGGACATTCCATAGCCTGAGAGAGAGTGAAATTAACCCTGACCTTAAAATGTCGGTTTTCTAAATATGAAGAGAGCTAATCAATTAAAGGGGGTTTTATACCCAATCATCTAAGCTTCTTGATAAAACATGCGTGGTTGACCCTATCAAAAGCTTTTGAGAAGTCCAGGTAGATGACGTCAACCTTCCCTTCGCGATCAAGTATGGTTGTCCATCTATCTTAGGTGCTGCAGTTTACGGAGCACCAGGTCAGCACTCAGGTCCACTTCGGAAAGTCCTGTACAGGTGCAGGTGAAGCTTTCGTCAGTATGGTTGATGTGGGTCAGCTGGAATGTCCGGGAGTATTGTTCAGTCAAAAGGTTAGCGTCAAAACTGTCGTTATTGCTCAGGCCATTAGGACCAAGCAGTTGGGAAACTCCAGTTTTGCCTTGTCGAAGAGAAGCTCCGTTACTGAATAAGCTTTTCGAATTGGAGACGAATTTATCGATAAGCTTGGTCTGGAACTGAAGCCTGTCCTCTCTTATTGCCTTTGAACATATTTTCCTTATGCATTTATATTGCCTGTATGCGTCGTTATTGTCGGTTCGTTTATATTCGACCCAACAGTGCCTTTTGCGGCTTAGCAAACGACGAGTGCGGTTCTTGATGATTGCAGGTTGTTTGTAGCTTTTTGGGACCATTTTAGGGACTGAATGCTCAGTAGCACATAAGATCGTGTGCAGTAAAAAATCCCAATGGGCATCCACTTCAAGTTGAGGGTGAACATCCCAATCCACCTGTTGTAGATAGTCCTGTGAAGCTAACACATTCAACCGTTTGAAGTTCCAGCGCTTGTTGCTAGTAGGATATCATAGCTCCGTTTTGCTGACAAAGCTGAATGATAAGACGGCGTGATCACTTTTGCCCAGGGGAGCCAGGATTAAGAGGTCGTCATCTAGGAATTCTTCATTTGCGAATACACAGTCTAAGCGCAACGGCGTCTGACTGTTTCTCCAACGGGTTGCCGACTTCACATTTTTGAATAATCCCAGGTCACCGATAAGGTTGAAGAACAGAGCTTCAGTAGAGTTGGCACCACTAATGTATGTATGTTCCACGAAGTTGATTCTAGGAAGATTGAAGTTCCCTAGGATCAGGATATGAGAGAATCCGAGACGCGTAGAGCGAGTTAATCCTTCCAGCAGACGTTTGTCATATTCGATGTCGGCAGTGGGCTTCCTGTAAATGACCCCAACTAGACACCTCGAGGTGGTAAACAATCTGACTGAGCACCATACTGACTCATCAAGATTGAGAAACTCTTGGTTGTGAAGTTGGTGCGCATCCAGGCATAACCGTATGTATAGTGCTACTCATCCCATTCCTGTTTTTCTGTCGTTGCGAAATGAAGACGTCCCAGTTATTGCTAACTCCTGGTCCGTAAACTGAGACGTTATCCAAGTTTCGGATATTCCTATCAGATGGGCATCATTAGCGGTGCTAAGTTCACTTAGCTCATCCATTTTGTTTGGCAAGCTCGCGGCGTTCGTGTATAGGCAGTTTATGCTTTCAATTTGGAACGCGTGAGCTTCTTCCTGTTTGTCTATATAAGCCGTGCGTGAGTGGACAGGTAGCCTACCTATACGATGTTTACCGAGTTGGTAGTCCCTGTCCTTTACACGTTTTTTTATGATCAAGACAGTTCACGAGTGGAATTGTCAGCTCCAGCTTTCGTTTGTGCTTGATCCTGCTGTCGTGGGGCCGGATGCATATGGATGCCAGTTGGCAACCGACGTCTATTGGCACGAAATGCTTCCAGAGTTGCAGCCGCCATGTGGGAGGAGGGGAGGGTTATCTTCGACAGCCGGGGCCTAGAGTCTCCGTCCCTCTTGTCTAGTCGCATTACTTGTTGAGTCAATATGTTCTTGAGCTTTAAGGAATGTCTAATGAATTTCCACTCCCGAATATCAGAGTTTGCTTGAGTTGGGTCCATATTTTCCGGCACACCTTGCACAATGATATTTCGTCCACGGAAAAACGCCTCGCGAGATTCCTTAGGGATGTTCCGGATGAGATTTCGTTCAGAATACGGTATGTCGGGCAGTATTCTTACGTTCCCATCGGATTTTAGTAAGTGACTGGCTAGCAGGACGTCCTTTACGTCGGAGTCATTCTTAAGTGTAACACGAAGCAGCCTCGGGTGGTTTTGGTGGTTAGAGTCCTTCCCCCGAGTGAGCCGTGTGACGGTCAAAGGCTCTATTCTGAGGAGTTCAAGCCTCTTGTTTAATTCTCCTCAGAGCATCCTATCATTTTTGTGCTGCAAACTGAAAGGAAGGTCGGGGTTGTCAATAAGGTTCATGATTATGACAGAGTCGTCACGAACCGTAATTGATTTCCCAGGTTTTCCAGGGCGTCTAGGTTTGGTATCTTGTTGTTTGGATGTGAAGGCGCGTTTTCGATTCCCGGGCTCAGTGATGACCGGGCGGACAATCTTGGGGGTAGACTGTGCGACCAAGGCATCAATTGATTTCCGCACGGTTCATTTTCGGAGGGGACGCTTGGGCTTTATTACTCCTGTTAACGTGAGTCCAACCACCTACAGTACTTTTGGGAACCACTGTCTCATTCAAGGGCTGTTCCCTGGGGGACCCAAGTTTACTGAGGGAGTCGATGACAGTCGATGTTAAGATGATGGTGAGTTTCGGCACATCATCACTCGTGCTGTTAACAGCACCTGTCAATATCCTTTTTCTTGTTTGGCCTATGCGTTCCAGCTTCGTTACCCGTCATGATGCTATCATTTGCCAAATTCTTAGACAACTTATCTCTCAGACCTGTTAGTAAAGTAATGATGGTACCCAACATAACTACAGTATCAGTATTGCAGGTAACACATACCCACCTACGATCAGATTTGCTGAGTCTGCTATAGGCTGCTGCTGTTAGATCTGTGCATTCTTCGTGGAACCAACCTTTGCAGTTGTCACATTGCATGCCAGATGTAACGACGAAACGGCAACCAGGTCTTTTGCATGAATTTTTCATGGCTAGTGATTTAGACTGTCTTTAAAATATAAGCAGTAAATTTAGGACCGTTAAAAAAACACAGTAAACAAAAACTGGCAAAAATGTATAAAAACAGTTAACGATAGGCTAAAGCTAGTCTTTACGTGAAAACTATAAAAAAACCGATAGTGAGCTGAGGCAAAACCACAGTTAACTATTAATTTGAGTGAAACACAAAAAAGAAGTAATCTACCGGACGTATAGCTCAGAATAGATTCTTTAGATCGGAAATCGTACTTTTGTTGCGTAAGAACACAGCAAAAGTTTGAGAAATGTAAATCACGTTGAGACTATACTTCCCGTTCGAAAAAAAACAAGGTGGGTATTCCGTATTTGAAGTGCTCGGGTTTTGTTCAGCGCGTGCTACCTTTTATGAGTTCGTAGCGTTCGCATAAATAAGTAATTTTCTGACATCTGAAAACCCAAAAGAGGTCTTTATACTCGCTTCGTGAAAGGTAGTAATAATTCAGATTTCTGTAGTAAGGACAGAAGGCTGTAGACGCCACAAGTACTCAGAGATTGATAACACCATAACTAGTAACACCTATAATTGAGACGTGACAACCCAGTGGAATCAGAATTCAGAAGCGAAGAGCCTGGAAAATATATTTGATAGAATATCAATATATCGAGAAGCGACTAATTTAGCTAGTTAGTGGTTGTAGGAGAGTGAAGGTCGGCGTACTCGCTCGTGATCTGGTGCGAATGCACGATCAAGTGACTTCAATTAGGTGAGTCCATTAAAATTAATGCGATCGGAATCAGATGTCAAAGACTTGCAGAGCTGGGGATTTCCAGGATTTATTTACCGTTACAAGGCTGACGGCCTATATAAGGACACATCTGCTCAGCGTAACAGGCTTCGAAAGTTGATGACTCAGTATGAAAACCTATATAACACGAGTATTTTGTATTGGGGACTCAACTATTTCTGAGAGTTCATTTACATACAATATAAAATCTAAAGGACCTAGGACAGAGTCTTACGACACAACACTAATTACAGGTTTGCAGGAGAAGCATTTGGAATTTATTTTTACTTTTTACCCACAACCTACCAGGAAATCAATAAGCCATTTTAGGATAGGTCCAACAATGCCTAGATTTTCCAGCTCCAAAAGTAGCGTGATTTTTCGCACCTTATCAAATGCTTTGCTGAAGTCTGTGTACACAAAATCTACTGATTTTCCATTGTCTGGAGCCTCTATCCTTTTCTCTTTTATTATAAGTAGATTTGTAATTGAAG